CCAAAAACCTGCTGTAATATTTTATCAATATACTACTTAACCCAAATTAAGGAATAAGCATAATCCGTGTTAAAGAGAACGTTAGTCTCACCAATGGTGAGTAGTCACTTGGCCTGTTGATGATTACCTTCAGGAGTGGAGCCGGTAGCTGCACGCCGCATTTCTTTCGTCTTCTCCTGTTCTCGTGAAATACGCTGGTCCAGATTCGCCATCTGAATCGGACAAAAATGATACGCTCAAGGCATTCGCTTAACAAGGTAGAACTACTTTGAATAAAACCTGTGGCAAACGGTTTATTTACTCGGATTCTTACATTTTTCAACTATCTCGAAAAAGGAACAGGGTTGCAGCACTACGTACTCAGACACTTTAGTATAGGCAATTAATGGATTCATAAATTTTATTAGATAGTTTTACCTTAAGAAAAGCATCAACATACTAACTTCTTCGGTGCTCAAGGAAAAAATTTTATTTGAAAAAAAAGCTAACCTTGATTATGCCTAACTTTTCCAGTAAAAAGTGTAGCAAATACGCAACATATGATTAATGGTTGTCATCAAATAACCAAACTTATTTTTTCTAGCACAGGCAGTTAGAAATAAAATTATTTCTCTCACCAAGATATTAACACTTCTAGCATCATTTAGCATCGATTTATGAATTGTCAATAAAAAGAGTATCAAAGATGTGAATACAAGGATGGTGTGGCCTTTTGTATGGTCATGATCTCCTTTCGTTGTATTAAAGTTGTGTGACCTTTTTTCGCAACTTGGTCATATTGACAGGAAGACCTTGAGGAACTCACCTTGTCTGGAATCTATATTATGCATGGACACTGAAAGATCCAAAATAGCGGAACACATCGCACGAACGGAACATGAAAGCGTGTGGAAATCGACAGAAAGGCTGGCTGCATATGATGGAAGTACAATAAAACGTAAGATACAATAATTTATTGATATCCTGACTGAAAAAAACTTAATGAACAGGAGACTTGAATAAGGCAGGATTAGCGAAAACTTTGCATACGGCCTAAACAAACTCGGAGAAGATCAGGGAACAGGAATATCAGCAAAAATAAGACGACTTTTAAAGAAGTAGTTTGAATTTGTTTTTTCAACTTGGTCATATTGGTAAGAAGAATTAGAGGAACGCATCTAGTTCGGAGTCCATTGTATGCATTATCATTTCCAGAATCGGACAGTGGATGTGGTACATTCCCAGACGTTTCGCCAGTATCGTAGTCAGTATAGTCAGTGAGTCTTGCCATTCTTAGCACCATACTATAGAAGTAATACTTTTAATATTAGGAAAAGAAATTACAATGAGATCAAAGAGGGACGATCGGAAACAAAGAGAAGAAGTCTACAGTGATCCTATTCAGATAAAGTAGAACCATCACATTTAGGGGTTGGCACGCAATAGAATATCATAGACGAGCAAGAAACGGTGGTGGCCATTTCTAGTTGGCTATTAGTAGATAAGTTTGCTCATAGACGTGTTTTATGAAGTAAAGGCTTGATCACGAGATCTACTCGGTGCACAGGCGGCACAGCGATAAGGGAATCTGCAGCGTCAAGTTAGGTTGCCATGTCAAATGAGAATCCAGATTTTAGGGGCTTACTCAGTGAGGCTGGTGCATACGTGCTATCAAAGGCTTGAGGCAAAGTGTAGAACATAACTCATTGAGTAGCACAGATACGATGGCAGAGATAAATTGAAATCAATGAAACAGGCAGAAAAGGGAAGGATACTACGGAGCAAGATGGGACTCTGATAGGATTCGAAGAAAGAGGATTTCGGATGATACCGCAGCCTTGGATTAACACTCCTGGCACAGTAGGAGGGATGAGGAAACTAGCGGGGAGTGTGAATAGGTATCAAATATGTTTAGGTAAACAAGTAAGAAATTGTGATATTGAAGGGGTAATACGAGGATATAGGATAGATAAATAGCACAGGACAGAAGAAGAGATACCACAACTGTTTAGCACAAATTTGGTCAAGGGATCAAAGTCACTTGTCTTTGACGAGTTGTAGTGTGCTGCTAAGAATGACAAGGCTCATTGACGATGCTGGGGAAACGTCTTGGAATATGCCAAGTCCACCATCCGACTCTGAAAATCATCATACCAACTATTGACTCCGGACAAGGTGCGTTCTTCTAGATCTTCCTGCCACTATGGCCAAGTTGCGAAAACGAGGTCAGAAAGAGTATCGTTGTAAAAGCTATTTAGCAATCCAGGCTAAAATTCTCTCATAAAAAAAGATAGTTCAAATTAAGCAAACTGAGAGTACTAGAATACCCTTCCAAGTTTACTTACTACTTAGGATTTAATATAGAAGACATTTTAAAAGCCTATCTATTCCGAATAAAAGGAATTTCTAACTCTAAAAGCCTGGAGACCTCATTAGGGTAAATCATTCTTAGTTAAGCTTATCATTTAATGAAGCATATAGTAGATAGAAAACATGCTTATAAATTGTCACCAGAATTTAAAATTTAAAATAACTATTTATACTTAAGGATATTTCATAATATTTATATAGCAATAATTAATCAGTTAGAAAAATTTTTTATTGATGAGTGTATGATTTAAATGAATTTCATCAACCTATTTATTTATTCATACGTTTATTGCCCGTAAGTAGAATATTTTTTTGGCAAATTCAATTTATTGTTAACTTGTACCCACAAAATTTGACTTATTTATTCTGCCACCAAATTTTAAAATATCTTCATTATTCCTCTTGTGGGTAGGATGTAAGAAGTAGCAAGAGTAAAAAGTTTATTTCTAGTCCTCAACTCCACATTGATGGTTTTTGCTTTCTCTGTCATCAACTTGTTTATCTTATGAAAGGACTCATTTAAGAGCCAAATTTTCACACCTTTACCTTTCAGCTGATGAATAGCAATTCCCTTTCTTATAAAAAAACTTAATTTTCTAAACTCAATTGTAGCCTACAAATAACTGTCCATAGAAAGGATGAAATAAAATTACCCATTTATCCATCTGCATCCTGACAATACTACTTTTATGAATTTAAGTGTACAACTAAGCATTCTTTATAAAGTATTAAGCATTTATGCTATTTTGGCACATATTTTGATGTTCTTCAAATAGAACTCTAAAATAAATTACAAAATAGCGTAGAGTCTTGCCCATTAATGTAAGATATGCAAATGATCCCCCATCTTACCTGATTTTTCTGCTCCTGAATTTGTCTAGTGATCTTCCCCTCTCGTTCACGCTCCAACCTTAACTTTTTGGCCATCTCAAGCATCATTTTGCTCGTTTTAAAGGACTCTAGCTAAAATATAAGTAAAAATTGGAGCTTTTAAATGGTTACTCAAATTTGTCTGATAATTGTCATTAGAATAATTAATTTTGGGTTAGTAAAACCTCAAGCATATTTCATGAAGTTATGGCCTATGGCCTAAGTTATGGCCTACGCTTATAAGGCCTATGGGCCAAAGCAAAGGATTCTAGAAAATACTTTCATCAAGCACGTCTCTCAATTGCCAAATCAGCCAAACGAAAGGGAATCCATTCACAGATATGTGCCTATTTTTGAATTCGATCATTATAGTGGCTTAATATTGACTGTCAGGTCAAGCCAATCTTCCGAGTGGTCTATTTCCCTAAACGCTACCCATTGAAGAAGACCAAGCAGCCAAGAAAAACGATTCGCCAAAGACAACCTCCCCTTAAATTCTGTTAAGGACGTTCAGCAAAGACCTGCGGCTTAAGCTTGCAAACGCAGAGTATAGAGCCGAATTTATAAATAAACTAATTGAATATTTATCCTTCTTTACTTATAACACTTTACTATAAAACTTTTTCCCATGAGAGATATGATCAACTATGCAATCGATAACCTTCAAAGTGAGACTTCAAGAAATAGAAGTGGGTTGACCTCGTTGTCGCAACTTGGTCTTGTTCTCAGGGAGGCCATGTAGAACGCACCTAGTCCGAAGTCATCTGCTATAATAGTTGTCATAATTCTTAGCATCTAACAGTGGACTTGATACATTCTCAAACGTTTCGCCGGCATCATCAGTGAGTTTTGCCATTCGCCGCACCAA